TGTATTAATATTTTCTATATACCATCTACCTAATTTTATTTTTATTATTACCTCTAGAATTATTTAAAATTATTATTATTACACATTGAAACGTCAGTTCCCTGAAATTCTTGGCTCGATGAATTTTTCATTTTCCAAATCCACAGATCCGAAGTTCCGTGGGATTAAAACTCGGCAGATATTGAATATCTGTATTAAAACAATACAATATTAGCGAATCTCTGTAAATAACGAACAACTTGCGATTTATCTCAATAAATTGACGGCGGTGATTTAGTTTTGAACGGATGCGCACAATTAACGCGATTCCGACATGAATTCATGATACCAACCGAGCGATAAACAAGCAACCAAGAGCAATTTATTTTTTTTCCTCTCGTTCCTCGACTCGTGTCCTCTTTTTATCCCCCCACGATCGATTATTCGTAATAAACATTTTGTGTGCATGGTGCACGTGTTTCGCTCTGAAACGCACTCGACAATTAAATACATTTAAAGCGCCGATACAATGTTCCGTATTTTTCGATGAACGTTCATCGATAATAGGTTTCGTTCCCTTGTTTTCGTTCCTTTTTTTTCTGGACCGTTACAGCGGTAATATTTTTTCCTTTCCGGGCCAGGGTTTGTCGTCGAATTGCCCCGAAAACCGAAAACAAGCGAAACGAATTAAAATCCGGCGACTGGATGAATTTCCCGATCGAATTTCATCGAGAACTTTGAATTCGCTTTAGGGGTGAAACGTTCACGCGACGGAAGCTTTTATTGTGCACCGACTTCCTATCGAAACGGTTTTAATCAACCATTAGCCTGCAAATAAGCAACCTATTCTAAATTTATCCGAAATCGAAATCAATTGTGAGGTGTTTTTGTGTGTTCACATTTTTGTATTTGGTATTAAAAATATTTTGGTGCTTCATATTATTATATTATTATATTTTTATTATCGTTTATATTATTATATTATTATCATTTATATTATTATATTTTTATTATCATGTTATTATTATATTATTATATTTGCAATTGTGTAAAATTGTTTATGATTATTAGAAATAGTGGAATTTGGTAAAAATTCATGGCACAATTTCAAAGCGAAATGGTGGAAATAAATGCAATCGATTGGGGTCTCCATTAATTTATTCAAAGGGTTGCCAAATCGTACCGACGTCTGTAAACCTACTTGGAAATTTCACGAGGCCTTTCCTTATAAATATTCAAAACGCAACCCCTTTGTTGCTGGAGAAAATCGTGCGCCGGAATTTTTGAGACTGATCAAGATGAAATTTAGTTGGGGATATTTAAATGGGTTGCTGAAAAATTTTGGTAGAATCAAATATTTTGTGAATAAATTGTTTAATATTGTAGATTTTCTAATTTTTCAATTTCCCAATTTTCTAACTTTCCAATTTCCCAATTTTCTAACTCTCCAATTTCCAAATTTTCTAATTTTCCAATTTCCCAATTTTCTAATTTTCCAATTTTCCAATTGTTTAATTTCCCAAGTTTTCAATTTTCCATCTGCCCAATTTTCCAATTTTCCTATTACCTAATTTTCCAATTTTACATTTTCCCAATTTCCTCTTTTACAATTTCCCAATTCTTTAATTTGCCCATTTTCCAATTTCCCATGTTTTCAATTTTCGAGATTCCCAGTTTCCCAATTTCCTATTTTTCCAATTTTGCATTTTCCCAATTTTCCAATTCTTTAATTTGCCCATTTTCCATGTACCCAAATTCCACTTCTAAAATTTTCCAATTTTCACTTTTAAATTTTCCAGTTTCCGAATTTCAAATTTTCCATTTTCCCAATTTGCATTTTTCCAATTTGCATTTTCCCAATTTGCATTTTTCCAATTTGCATTTTCCCAATTTTCCAATTTCCACGTTTAAAAATTCCCAATTTCCGCTTTTGTAATTTTCCACTCTCCAATTTTCCATTTTCCTAATTTTTCAATTTCCATTTTCCAATTTTCCAATTTCCCAATTCTCCAATTTCCACTTTCAAAACCGTCCAATTCTCCATAATTCTCCAATTTCCACATTTTCCAGCATCCAAATAACCCAATTTCAACTTCGAAATAAAATGTACTTTTCCATTTCAAAAAATAAAAAATGAAAAGTAAAGCCACGTTTTTATTACAAAAAATAAAAAATTGAAAAGAAGTCTACCACGTTTATTTCAAAAAATAAAAAATGAAAAGTAAAGTACCACGTTCACTTCAAAAAATAAAAAATGAAAAATAAAGTACCATGTTTAATTAAAAAAAAGAAAATAAAACCAAAGCAAGCATCTAGTTACGAGACGTAAAATAAATTGCTAAACTAATATCTATAATAAATTCGATAGTGATTAATCGATAATAAAAGTGGTGTATCGGTTGCGTTTAATTTCAGGGGAAATTCCAAGAACTATTTAAATAACAAATTTCGACAGGCACGCTGCTTCAAATTATTTGCTTGACAAGCCATTCGCGTTACACGGTCCGCGATTTAATATTATAATAGCATTGTTTATTAATTCGTCGACGTACGTCAGCATTACACAAATAATTGCATCAATTTTCTGCCGAACGGTATTACGCGTTTTGATTATTTCACCCCTGATTATTATGAAATTACGGACAGAACAGCCGGCTAAATAAACGATGAAGTGTCAGTGGATGATACAAGAATGGTACGACAAGTTTGTCTGTGGTGAATAATTTAATTAAGGGTTTTTGTTAATTAGAGAGAAGAGAAAAGAGTTAAGGTGTAAATTTCAGATTTGGGGGATTTAAGGCCTAGGAAATTGGGAAATTGGAAAATTAGGGAAATGGAAAATTGGAGAATTTGTGAATTGGGGAAATGGGAAATTGGGATTAAGAAATTTAGGGACTTGGAAATTGAGAAATTGGAAAATTGGCAAATTAGGATTTAGAAATTTGGGGATTTGGAAGTTGGGAAAGTGGTAGTTGGAAAATTGGAAAAGTGGAAAATGGGAAAATAAGAAAATTAAGAAATTGAAAAATTGAGGAAATGGAAAATTGGGAAAATGGAAAATTGTGAAATTGGAAAATTGGAAAATCGGGGAAATGAAAAATTGGAGAATTTGTGAATTGGGGAAATGAGAAATTGGCATTAAGAAATTTAGGGACTTGGAAATTGAGAAATTGGAAAATTGGCAAATTAGGATTTAGAAATTTGGGGATTTGGAAGTTGTGAAAGTGGTAGTTGGAAAATTGGAAAAGTGGAAAATGGGAAAATAAAAAAATTAAGAAATTGAAAAATTGAGGAAATGGAAAATTGGAAAATTTAGGAATTGGAAAATTGAGAAAATGGAAAATTGTGAAATTGGAAAATTGGAAAATCGGGGAAATGGAAAATTGGAGAATTTGGGAATTGGGAAAATGGGAAATTGGGATTAAGAAATTTAGGGACTTGGAAATTGAGAAATTTGAAAATTGAATAATTGGTAAATTAGGATTTAGAAATTCAGGGATTTTGAAATTACGAAAGTGGTAATTGGAAAATTGGAAAAGTGGAAAGTTGGAAAATTGGAAAATGGAAAAATTGGAATTTGAATTCTCAGAAATTTTGAAACATAGAAATTTACAAATTTGCTATTACACAAACTAGCCTACACAATTTCCTAATGAAAAAATCCCTAACAAAAATAACCACTATCCTCTGAATATTGATAATTGAAAACATTGAAAAGTACAATATGAAAAAACACATTGTTAAAACCGCTGTCCACAAAAGAAGAAATAAATTAAGCTGTCACTTCGGAAACACGAATCAAATTCTTCCGACCAATTGGTTTTGTTAAACAACCGTATTTTTCGATTTGACGAGAAAGAAATATTTGATGTTTTCTCTTCGTAAGTGAACGATGAAATACAATACGTGTCCCAAAAACCATAACAACGGTATCAAATAACGTTCGGTTTGATTTCACTTTTTTCTTCCATGTTTTATTTTCAAGATCAATTTACTTCAAAAATGTTTTCTACTTTTTTGTCTTGTTTATTGTTTTTACTCAATCTACAAACACACAACGTGAAACTGTTATTGATTGCCTGCGTTTCATGATATTTTACTTGTTTTTAATAAAAGCTGGAGATGTTTACGTCTTTTGAAATAATAGACACTTTATTGTTTAAGAGATGGATTTAATACTACTTGTTTCTTTTAAAGTATTCTCATGAAATAGAAGATAAAGTAAGTAAGTTAATTCTACAGTATACTTACCAATTTTCTAATTTTCCATTTCCCCGATTTTCCAATTTTCAAATTTCACAATTTTTCGTTTCCCCAAATTTGCAATTTTCAAATTTCACAATTTTTCGTTTCCCCAAATTTGCAATTTTCAAATTTCACAATTTTCCATTTTCCCAATTTCCCAATTTTCCAATTTCACAATTTTCCATTTCCCTAATTTTCCATTTCCCCGATTTTCCCATTTTCCTATTTCACAATTTTCCATTTCCTCAATTTTCCAATTCCTAAATTTTCCAATTTCACAATTTTCCAATTCCTAAATTTTCCCATTTTTCATTTCCCCAATTTTTCAATTTTCCAATTTCACAATTTTCAATTTCCCCAATTTTCCAATTTCACAATTTTCAATTTCCCCAATTTTGCAATTTCACAATTTTCCATTTCCCCAATCTTCCAATTCCTAAATTTTCCAATTTCTTAATTTTCTAATTTTCCCATTTTCCACTTTTCCAATTTCCCACTTCCTCATTTCCTAAATTTTCCACTTCCCCATTTTCCAATTTTCCAATTCATTTCCCAAATTTTCCAATTTTTCAATTCCCCATTTCCCAAATTTTCCACTTTGCCATATTCATAATTATCCACTTTCCTAATTTCCAATTTTCCAATTACCTATTTTCCAAATTTTCGAATTTAATAAATCTCCAAATACCTAACTCCCCAACTCCCTAAACAACAAAAAATAAAATAGCCTGACTGCCGTGGACATCGAGAAAGCTTCAGCAGGAAGTTCGGTTAAAAATTAGAATCCGGCATTATCCGCGTTAAAGGTCGAATTTGCCGTGAATTTGGCGTGGTTCCGTTGCTCGTTACCTGAAGAAGCAGCGTGGTAAATTACAGTCGCCCCGAAGGGATCGACGATACGAAGCTACAAGCCTGTTGCGGTATGTTCACAATCCTGCCAACCCTTTCTACGTCGCCCATCCCTTGGCTCGGTTCAAACATCCAGAAGAAGAAGAAGCAACAGATACGAGCCTTCCTGAGGAGATAGAGATAGAGAAGAGAGAGAAGGAAAAAGAGGTCGGATCACGGAAAGGGAGAGAAACGAGTCGGAAGGAGAGGCACTCGGCGAGGAGTAAAGCGACATCGAACGTATCGTTCTGCGGTGAACTTTCCGTCGTAGTTTGGGGTGAAATCGTTTCCTGTGGGAGGGCAACCGTTTCATGGACTACCGAATATCGCGATTCCATCCGCCAGCCAATCCGCCGGAGTCTTGTCGACTTCCAGTAAACACGGATGTTGCATTCTCAGTGATCGTCCAAAGTGAAATGTACCTTGCTGCCAGGGAAACGGTTCAAATCTTCGAGTTTAATTGTTGCTCACGGCGACGAACAAGGGAGAAATCCGAACGGGAACGAGCCCACTGCCTTCTATGGTAATTCGGGTTAAAGAGAAACTGGCTAACTGGATTTTACTGGGACCTGATACTCTTTATATGGGCTACCACTTACAAGCTCTCTTTACTTATACTAACTTCTCACTGGGCAATTCTTCATTTATAGAGTACTGCTTGGAGATGTTCAAGTGTGCAGATATATGTGGACCTCTTTTTATAATATATGTGATCACACATGAACATGGTCACGAATATACGTAGTCAAAAATAGTGTGGTCATGTGTGAATCTACTCATATGTATGTAAATGTGCTCACTAATAGTAGTCACATGTGTATGTGATCATACATGTATCTGGTCATGAGTGTATATAGTTAAGAATGCATGTGGTCATACATGTATGTGGTCACAAATATGTGTAGTCAAAAATGTATGTGATCATATGTGGATCTACTCATATGTACATGTGCTCACTAATATATGAAGCCACAAATGTATGTGATCACACATGTACCTCATAATGAGTGTATGTAGTTAAGAATGCATGTGGTCATAAATGTATGTGGTCACAAATATGTGTAGTCAAAAATGTATGTGTTCATATGTGGATCTACTCATATGTACATGTGCTCACTAATATATGCAGCCACAAATGTATGTGATCACACATGTACCTCATCATGAGTGTATGTAATTAAGAATGCATGTGGTCATACATGTATGTGGTCACAAATATGTGTAGTCAAAAATGTATGTGATCATATGTGGATCTACTCACATGTACATGTGCTCACTAATATATGAAGCCACACATGTATGTGATCACACATGTACCTCATCATGAGTGTATATAGTCAAAAATGCATGTGGTCATACATGTATGTGGTCACAAATATGTGTAGTGACAAATGTATGTGGTCATAAACATATGTAGTCACAAATACATATAATCATAAGCATATGTGGCCATAAATGTATCTAGCCATAAATACATATTGTCAGAAATGTACATATGTGATCACACATACATGTAATTACACCTACATCTGATTCTAAGTTATATTTATCCACATATGTATACACATACTCATGTGTAGTCGTAACACATACATACTGGTCACACATGTGGTCAGACATACATGTAGTTACACTTACATCTGATCCTAAGTTGTATCTATCCACATATGTATACACATACTCATGTGTAGTCGTAACACATACATACTGGTCACACATGTGGTCAGACATACATGTAGTCTTGAATCGTACGTTGTCATAAATGTGTCTGGTCATAAATACATGTGGTCAGAAATATATTTAGTTAGAAGTGCATATCCTTGCATCCCCATATGTAACATCAACATATCAACCTCCCCTTTTAGCAATATCCTTACAAACACATAGATCTGTATACTAAATTAATTAATATCAAATTGAACAGTGAATCACCCAAATGAACTAATGCAACATAGAAGCCTCTACCAAACAGTACACCGCGTTATTTATTTGATTTAGGCATTCGAATCAACTGCAACGTTCCCCGAGTCAATTGGCACGTCGATCGTCCGGCATACTTTCGTTGTTGTTTAATACAAACAAAACGGCACATCCGAGCTTTGCCAGCCGTGCTTTTTGTACGACGGTGAGGATTTATTCGCTCGGCGCGATATTATTGCGACATCGAACAAGCACCGCGTGGGCACGAAATCTCTGTAAAACTAAATTCGAAATAGCGCGAACGTCGCGTCTCCTGAACGCGGAGGACTTGTTTGTGAAATTTCGTTCAAACATTTATTGTACACGCTTCGATTGGAAAGCAAACACGCCCGTTGCTCGGGAAATAATTCCGCGCTACCCTGTTCAAATTAAGTGTTGCGTTTATAACTTTCCACGCTGGATACTGCTATGCTTGATAAATGTTGATGAACAACTCGAGGCTTGCGACAACATTTTTCGTTCCGACGCATACACATGCACATTCAGACAAAATATACATTCACTGTATCACGGTTCAACCCCTAAGATGTAATCTTTTATTCAATCAAATAGCATGACTCCATCAAGTCTGATTTATTTCAAGTTTGATAGCTATAGTAATCATTATAGTAATCAAAATTTCATGTGTTACTGAATTTCAGATTAGTACAATATGACGGACTTTCAAATGATAGGACTTGTTACAGAATTCAATTTGGATAATTTTATGTCGTTTTGGGGAATCGCTGCTAACACCCTTGTTACAGCTGCTGGGACTTGTCATAAAAAGTACCTACTATAGTTAATTTCAGTTTTGGAAAAAGGAAGTAATCACATAGAAATAAGTTAGCTTTTGGAGGATGTTGTAACAGGCTTGTTTTTTCATTGAGGAGAAATTTGGGGAAATTTGAGTTGGGAGTTGCAAGGTTGGGAATTGAGGATTTGGACTTGGAGACATGGGAATTGGGGAAATTGGGAAATGGAGAAAGTGGAAATTGGGAAAATTGGAATTCGGGAAATTGGGAAATGAAGAAATTGGAATTTGGTAAATTGGAAATTGGGGAAAGTGGAAATTGGGAAAGTTGTAATTGAGGAAATTGAGAATTGGGAAAACTGGATTGGGGAACGTGAGAATTAGGGAAAGTGGGAATTGGGAAAAGTGGGAACTAGGGAAATTGGAATTAGGAGATTTGGGTCTTGGGGAATTTGAGAGTTGGGAAAATTGAGAATTGGAAAAATTGGAATTGTGGAAAGTGGAATTGGGAAAAGTGGAAATTGGGAAAATTGGAATTGAGGAAATTGGAAATTGGGGAAATTGAGAATTGGGGAAATTAGAATCTGGTAAATCGGAATTGGGGAAATTGGAAATTGGGGAAAGTGGAAATAGGGGAAATTGGAATTGGGGAAATTGAGAATTGGGAAAATTGGAATTGGGGAACGTGAGAATTAGGAAAAGTAGTAATTAGGGAAATTGGAATTGGGAGATTTGGAACTTGGGGAATTTGAGAGTTAAGAAAATTGGGAATTGGGGAAATTGGGAAATGGAGAAAGTGGAAATTGGGAAAATTGGAATTGGGAAAATTGGGAATTGGGGAAATTGGAATTTGGTAAATTGGAAATTGGGAAAATTGCAATTGGGGAAATTGAGAATTGAGAAAATTGGAATTGGGGAAAGTGGAATTAGGAAAAGTGGGAATTAGGGAAATTGGAACCAGGAGATTTGGGACTTGGGGAATTTGAGAATTGGGAAAATTGAGAATTGGAAAAATTGAGAATTGGAAAAATTGGAATTGTGGAAAGTGGAATTGAGAAAAGTGTAAAAACAATTAATTTGGAATCAGAAATTTGGTCCTCTGAAAATATAGAACTTCGCAGTTCCCCATTCCATAACTCCACTAATTCCAAATTTAAAATTCCAAAAACCCCCACAATAAATCCATCAATTATCCAAAAATTCCTAAAATCCATCAATTATCCAAAAATTCCCAAAACACTCTCACCTCAAAAACGCCCAAAACTCAAATCCTCTAACGCACTAATTACTTCTACACATATTTAAATATTTAAAAACTATGAGTGAATTCTGCAAAACCACAAAAAACCATTAAGGGAACGACAGTACGGCAGCAACGGGTGAACGAGTTAATTATCACGAATTCAGGGAATGAAATTCTTACGTTTTTCGAGTTTCTCGTCGACAGGATATCCCAGTTGCTGACGGCACGAGGGAGGCCAACGAAGCTCGTGAAATTCCATGAAGCTCCACGGGGGTTGAATGGTATGGGGATGTTATTGGGTCGCGGCCACTTAATATGCAAATACATCGTAGAGACGGCTCGCTGCTACTGCTGCCGGTGTTCACCGTAACCAGAGCAGACGATGGCCAACGGGACCAATACTTTAATTTGCATTTAAAATTGCTCAAGGGTTGACAGCCGCCACCTTCTTCCCTCTCCCTCTTATTTTGGCTCTGAAACGAATGCTCCGGCATAATCGCTGTTGGATGAATCGGGCAACTTATTCGATATACCCTAACTCGTTTTTCAGATTTTCATCCTCTCTTATTCTCTTATATCTTATCCTGATTCTTTCAAACTGGGTGTATATTTTTTTATTTATTTTTTTGTAGGTTGACTTAGGAGAGAGTTTATGCGAGACTTATTGTAATAAAATAATTTTGTGAGGGGTCAGAATGTGATATTGTGAGGGTTTGTTGACTTTGAGAGGATGTGAGGACTTTCCCCAATTACCAATTTCCAATTTCCCCAATTCCAATTTTCCCTATTACTAATTTCCCCAGTTCCCACTTTTCCCAATTTCTACTTTCCCCAATTTCCACTTTCCCCAATTTCCACTTTTCCCAATTCTGAATTTCCCCAATTCCAATTTTCCCTATTACTAATTTCCCCAGTTCCCACTTCCCCAATTTCCACTTTCCCCAATTTCCACATTTCCCAATTCCAATTTTCCCCAGTTCCCACTTTTCCAATTCCAATTTTCTCTATTACTAATTTCCCCAATTTCCACTTTCCCTAATTTCCACATTCCCCAATTTCCACTTTCCCCAATATCCACCTTTTCTAATTCCAATTTTCCCTACTACTAATTTCCCCAGTCCCCACTTTCCCCAATTTCCAATTTCCCCAATTCCAATTTTCTCTATTACTAATTTCCCCAGTTCCCACTTTCCCCAATTTCCATTATCCCCAATTTCCACTTTTCCCAATTTCCAATTTCCCCAATTCCAATTTTCTCTATTACTAATTTCCCCAGTTCCCACTTTCTCCAATTTCCAATTTCCCCAATTCCAATTTTCCCTATTACTAATTTCCCCAGTTCCCACTTTCCCCATTTTCTTCTTTTCCCAATTTCCCCAATTCCACTTTTCCCTATTACAAATTTTCCCAGTTTCCACTTTCCCCAATTCCTAATTTCCCCAGTATCCACTTTCCCCAATTCTCAAGTCCCCAATTCCCACTTTCCCCAATTCCCACATATCCCAATTCCAATTTTTCTAAATTCCCAATGTCTCCAATTCTCAAACCCCGAAATCTCCAATTCCCAATTCCCCAAATTTCCAATCCTCAAATCCCTAATTCCCAAATATCTCCAAGTCCAAATCCTCAATTCCCAACTATGCAACCCCCACCTCTTTCCCTAAATTATCTCAAACCCCAATCAACCTCTGTTTTCATGTAATGAAGAAAGATTACGTGAATCAGCATCAGCATCACCAGAAAGACCTAACAATCGAAACATTCAAAATTTCAAATTCATTTCCGTATTTATGAACCTGCTTGATATTCCAGCAATTTCACGCTCCGGTAGCGATGAATTAGAACAACTCGTTCCTGGTACAATAAGACTGAAACCCCAAGAAGAGCTGTGGGCTCCGTTCAGATAATACTGAAACTGGTCCAACCTCGATGAAATTGATCGACTCATTCAACGATAATTATCGGACGCATAGTTCGACGACAATACGGTTAGCCGTCTGTTAAATCAGCCGTTAAATTCGCGCATCGATCGATCGGCTATTTGAAAAATCCCGCGGCGCAGAAACAATCGTGGACAGTCGGTTCCGGTTCGCTTAAGAAGTCTCCTTGAGAGAGCCCTTCGCAGACGGATCCTCTTTTAATTAAAACAAGATCCAAATTAATTCCCATCAAAAACAGAGAGCTCGCCGCTTTGATGCTCCTCTCCTCGTTACAGGGATTATCTTTGTCCCAAGGGTAACTTTCTTGGTTTTGCCACCAAAGAAGGAGGACGACAACAACAACAACAACAAAAGAAAGACGGAGAGAAAAAATATCCACGGCTAAAAGAATGGCCGGAGGTTGCGAGAGGGAGGTAAAAGAATCCGGAACATTTTACACCGCCTCGGGGCGAGTTTCGTCGCTTACGTAAAATAAACTTCGACGAATGGCAGTGACGGTCCTCGGCGAGTTTTACGTACCGTGTTACGGTAATAGGAGACGGCCAATTTTAAAAGCTTCAAATTATTGAAACTATTTTTTTTGAACCTCTGGTAAAATGGGAAAATTAATTAATTAATACGTTCATTGTATTTTGTGTTCAGATTCTTTCATTTTGTTATTGGAATGAAGACTATGATGAAGGAGTTTGTGTCGGAATACATGTATGCTATATATGAAGTAGTAAGTCAAGTTTTTGTATGAACCTGTAGATACACATATGTATATGCATATATGTATATGAACAAGTATATACACATATGTATATGTGTATATGTATATGAAGCAGTACAGACACATATGTATATGTGTATATGTATATGAACCATTATACACACATATGTATATGTATATATGTGTATGAACCAGTACACACACATATGTACATGTATATATGTATATGAACAAGTACACACACATATGTATATGTATAAATGTATATGAACCAGTATACACACATATGTATATGCATATATGTATATGAACAAGTATATACACATATGTATATGCATATATGTATATGAACAAGTACACACACATATGTATATGTATAAATGTATATGAACCAGTATACACACATATGTATATGCATATATGTATATGAACAAGTATATACACATATGTATATGCATATATGTATATAAACAAGTACACACACATGTGTATATGTGTATGTATATGTGTATGTATATCTATATGCACATATGTGCATGTGCATATATGTATGTATGCATGTATATGCACATATATACATACACATATGCACATGCATGTAATATATATGTTATAAATACGTCTTTATGAATCAACCCCTAAATATCAACACCTCAATGTCTCAATATTAAAATATTTGTTATGCTTCAACATCCTTAAATCTTCATATTTCTATGTCCATAAATCTTCAGCGTAATATAAACTAGATACTGTAAATGAAAATTGGAATTCTACTAAAGAAACTTTTATACAAATTATTGTTTTTAGTCAGACAGTAGAAAAGTTAGTATATGGTCAGACCTACCACTAACTTCATGACATGCATGCATAGTACAATTGTTTCAATGTTTAATTATTAAAAGGAGGTTATTCTTAAAGTTTTATGGTATTCAATAATTAAAATTCATTATAGATGGTAAAAAAAAAATGTACAAAATAATCAGTCCCTTACGTATGTAGTTCAAATGACGTGTCGAGAAAATTGACCCTAATAAATGATTTCTTATCAAGCAAATATTTAATTTAATTCGAAAGTTCGTACGAAATTACGGTGACCAGGTCGACCACGAGGACCTAAGTGTCGCATATACAAGGAAGAACGCAAGAAACAGTGACCGAGACAAAAATGGCTTAACAGTAGAAGGGTATAGAAAAAAGGTCTCTTGCGGTACATTTGGGTTTTATTGAATATAACGCGTGGTGGAGCCCCAACTGTCTTTCCAAGACTATCGCACTTCCCTTTGTCACCGTTTCAACCCACACCCTTACTCTTTATCCTCTCCCTTTTCCTGTCTTATTCCTTTTCATCCCTCTCTAGCACAGACACTGCGGTTATTACGCCATACTGGTTTATGGCATTTTTGCGTGCATTTAGACAGTTCCCCTCAACTTTATCCCCCACCTGTGTCTTCTCTCTTCAAGGGTTAATGACACCGAACAACTAAACTGTCTAAAACGGGTGTCAGGAAAATCGAAAAGATACCCCTTGTTATCGAACTCCATCACATTTTTTTCACGCTTTTCTTACGCGCCGAAAAGTTTACTCGGCGTCGGAGAACAAAGGGAACTCGAGTTTCGAAGATTTCGATGAAATTTCAACAGTTTTTAATTTTCTCAATTATATGACTTTGTTGTTTGCTTTGTGTCTATTTTTCAATTTCCAGCTCCCAATTTTTCCTATTACTAATTTTCCCAGTTCCAATTTTTCCATTTCCCATTTTCCCAATTCCCAATTTTTCCTATTACTAATTTCCCCAGTTCCCACTTTCCCAATTTCCATTTTTCCTAATTTCCACTTTCCCCAATTTCCACTTTTCCCAATTTCCACTTTTCCCAATTTCCAATTTCCCCAATTCTAATTTTCCCTATTACTAATTTCCCCAGTTCCCATTTTCCCCAATTCCAATTTTCCCGATTCCTAATTTCCCCAGTTCCCACTTTCCCCAATTTCCATTTTCCTCAATTTCCAATTTCCCCAATTCCAATTTTCCCAATTACTAATTTCCCCAGTTCTCACTTTCCCAATTTCCATTTTTCCCAATTTCCACTTTCCCCAATTTCCACTTTTCCCAGTTCCCACTTTCCCCAATTCCAATTTTTCCAATTCTCAATTTTCCCAACTCTCAAATTCCCCAAGTCCCAAATCTCTGAATTACAATTTCCCTAATTTCTACTCTCCCCAATTCCACTTTCCCTAATTCTACTTTCTTCAATTCTTACATTCCCCAATTCCCAATTCCAATTTTCTCAATTCCCAATTTTCTCAGTTCCCAATTTTTCCACTTCTCAAACCCTAATTTCCCATTTTCCCAATTCCCAATTTCCCAACTCCCACTTTCATCAGCAAATTCCCATATCTCTAAATCCCTAATTTCCCATTTTCCCAATTCCCAATTTCCCAACTCCCACTTTCATCAGCAAATTCCCATATCTCTAAATCCCTACATCCACAAACTCCCACCATCCTAAAAATTTCCCCAATTCCCACATCCCCCACACTCGAATATTCTTAAAATAAATTATTCAATCTTCACAATTACTCAAACCTTAAATAAACGTTCTTGAAGTCTCCATTAAAATACCTAAACTAAAAGAGTCAGTCACTAATTTCGAACAAAAATATAATTCGGAAATGATTGTTGAATTTCTAAAATAAAACAGTCGTAAAGTAACATTCTCGCAAAAAGTGAAACGATACAGTAGATATCCGAAGGAAATACCGCATTTTCCGAGGGTGGAAAACCGATCGGCAACGAATCCCGCAACAACAACGTTACGACCGTCTGAAAATTAATATCCCGTCGAAGCCGGTACCGAAGCTACTATATCTTGTAC